TCAAAATTTCATCATAGCTATAGTTTAACATTTGTACGTGCATATACCATACTTCTTTTATATGTCTACTATTTAAATCATTAAAAATTAATATCCCATGTAACATCATATATTATTATTTTTATATATATACATTTAAAAACTACATATTAAATATAAAAAATTCCTTTTTAGTGATATAAAAGCCATTATTATACTTTATATGCATAATCAATCAAAAACTTAAACAATTCCTCACTATATTATTTTAATTATTTGTGTACATAAATATTATGCTTACACAAGAAATGTTCTTGATTTAATTGTCGTAAAACTTTTCTTTTATCAGCAAGCATAGTGCACTTTACTTGTTATCATTGAATATGTCAATTAACTAAAGAATATTGATTTTTCCTTCCTCAGGTGACACAATTTGGTTGTGGGGGTTTTGTGATAGGCCTCATATTCTGCCATAGCATATGCGATGGTCTAGGAGCTGCACAGTTTCTAAATGCCGTTGGGGAGCTAGCAAGGGGTCATGAAAAAGCCAGCATCGAACCAGTGTGGCAAAGGGACTTTTTCCCATCTCCTCAAACACCCCAAGAAGCTACATTGCCACCAAAGCTACCCCCACTTCAAATACCAGAATACAAGCTAGAGCATGCAAACATAGACATGCCCATGGATCAAAGCATCCTTCTGAAGAAAGAATTTCAACAAGTAACTGGACTCGGTTGCTCTGTCTTCGAGATTGTAGCTGCAGCATGTTGGAGAAGCCGAACAAGAGCCATTAAATTGGAACCCAAAACTCAACTGAAGCTTGTGTTCTTTGCAAATTGCCGTCATCTCTTGGACCCTGTTCTACCCGATGGTTTATACGGAAACTGTTTTTTCCCAGTGACGATCACAGCTTCATTTGAGTCCCTTAGAGAGGCTGTGATGATTGATGTGGTGAAGCTGATCCAAGAAGCAAAAGCCAAGTTACCCGTTGAATTTGGAAAGTACTTGAAAGGTGAACATTTGCAAGGTGGAGAGAAAGAGGACCCATTTGCACCTCCACTCACCTACACTACTATGTTCATATCAGAATGGGGAAGGCTAGGATTCAACCACGTGGACTACAAGTGGGGTCCACCTGTCCACGTGGTTCCCATACAAGGCTCCACCATTATACCCGTGGCCATTGTAGGGTCCATGCCTCTACCAAACAAAGGGGTTAGCTTGATGACGTGGTGCGTGGAGGAGCCACATCGAGTTCCTTTCCTTAATCACATGAGTGGAGTCGTGAATGGGGAAATGATATAAAGGCTTATAATAATATTAACTTTCCTAGAAAATAGCTGAGAGGCTTGCCGAAGAAATGGTCTCCCTTAGACCCAATAATGCCAAATTGAAAATTAACCTCATCAACATAAAAGACTATTTCTAGCATAAACATAACATACAAAAATAGTTAGTGATCTAAAGTCTCATTCCACTCCTAAATTTTTGAAGCCAACGACAAATTGTGCCATTCATTCATAAAAGAAGCACCTCAAAACCCGCTAAATATACATATTTTTTCCAATTTATTAGCCTAAAAATAAAGAATCTACACCTATAAAAGCCCAACTTCATTCCATGTCTCATCACTCCTCAAGCCTCCCCCTCAATAAACACACCCCACACAGGGGAGGAAAACCATCTTCTCCATTCGACCATCGAAGAGAAGATCCAATAAAGGAGAGAAAAAATTAAAAAAAAAAATTTAAATAAAAAAAAATGTCAGGAAAGGTTATTATCTCTGCGGTCTCTCTGATCCTTGTGGTGGGTGTAGCCCTCGGCGTGGTGGTTGCCGTGAACAAGAAGAGCGAAGACCCAGAAATCCAGTCTCAACAAAAATCCGTCAGAGTTATATGCCAAGACACCGAAGATCAAAAACTCTGCCATGACACTCTTAGCTCAGTCAAGGGCGTGAATGCCACTGATCCAAAGGCTTACATAGCCGCTGCCGTAAAAGCAACCACTGACAGTGTCATCAAAGCCTTTAACATGAGCGACAGGCTCACAACGGAGTATGGAAAAGATGACAGCACGAAGATGGCCCTCGATGATTGCAAGGATTTGTTGCAATCTGCAATAGAAAGTCTTCAACTCAGCACTGATTTGGTTCACAACAACGACGTGCAAAACATTCATCTTCAATCTGCTGATTTCAGAAACTGGCTCAGTGCTGTTATCTCGTACCAACAAGCGTGCATGGATGGTTTTGACCGTGGAACTGATGGTGAGAAGAAGATCAAGGAGCAGTTGAACGAGCAGGGTTTGGACCACGTGCAGAAAATCACTGCCATCACGCTTGATATTGTGACTGATTTGTCCAAGATCCTTGAACAATTCGGGTTGAAGTTGGATCTTAAACCCGCTTCCCGTCGCCTTCTTGGGTCTGAGGCTGATGAGGAAGGATACCCTACTTGGTTCCCTGCTGCTGATCGTAAGCTTTTGGCTCAGCTTCAAGGTAAGGGATGGAGATCACGAGTGAAGCCCAATGTTGTTGTTGCCAAGGACGGAAGTGGTCAATTCAAAACCATTGCAGAAGCTATAGCTTCATACCCTAAGGGTTTCTCTGGTCCTAGATACGTTATCTATGTTAAGGCTGGTGTGTATGATGAGTACATCACCGTTCCCAAGCAAGCAGTGAACGTTCTCATGTACGGTGATGGCCCTCTAAAGACCATTGTCACTGGTCACAAGAGCTTTGCTGGCGGCATCACGACCATGCAAACTGCCACCTTCGGTAATTAATTTACTTTATTACTATTAAATAAAACCATTTTCCTTACACACACATGTATACATATATATACTATAACATGAATGAATTAACGTGGACTAACTGATTTTGCATGGGATGCATGCAGCCAACACTGCAACAGGATTCATCGCAAAGGCAATGACATTTGAGAACACAGCTGGACCTGATGGTCACCAAGCAGTGGCACTTAGGAACCAAGGAGACGCGTCTGCTTTCGTGGGTTGCCACATATTGGGTTACCAAGACACCTTGTACGCTCAAGCCAACAGGCAATTCTACCGCAACTGCGTCATCTCTGGCACCATTGACTTCATCTTTGGCACATCCCCAGTAATAATCCAACACTCTGTGATCATTGTGAGGAAGCCAAACGACAACCAATTCAACACAGTGACCGCAGACGGCACAAAGACGAAGAAAATGAACACTGGCATCGTGATCCAAGACTGCCAGATCGTCCCAGAAGCAGCACTTTTCCCTGTGAGGTTTCAGATTAAATCCTACTTGGGAAGGCCATGGAAGGAGCTCTCAACGACCGTTGTCATGGAATCCACTATCGGAGACTTCATTCATCCAGATGGGTGGTTCCCTTGGGCCGGTAATGCTTTCCTTGACACCTTGTACTATGCTGAGTACAACAACGATGGTCCTGGTGCCAATGTTAGCGGAAGGGTCAAGTGGAAGGGTTACCGTGGTCTCATCAGCCGTGCCGAAGCTGAACAATTCACTGCTGGCAAGTTCCTCCAGGCTGGACCTGGTTCTGGAGTTGATTGGATCAAGAGTCTTCATGTTCCTCACGCCCTTGGCTTCGTCAAAGCTTAAAAACCAAACCTCTCCTTAGAACATCAAGTTTTATCACATCAGAGCCACCATGCGCACCCACGCAATTTATTATTCTTTGTAGTTCTATCCTTTCGTTTGTCAATATCTAGGGTGCAATGGAATTTATTCTAATGAAAATTTGCTTCTATTAGCTAAAAGTTTCCATTTCATTCCATCATTATACTTGCCTCTAATGGCAATCTTAATTGCTCATCATCACTGTTAATTTTCAAATTAAATTAATCTCAAACAAATATTAAAGTTCAAGTAAAAATCAATCAGGTCATTTTCGTTCAACTAATTAGTTAATATTGATTTAAAATTTTGAAATCGAAAGTAATTAATTAGCTAGTGAAGTGACGGAAGAAAAATGACAATATCACCGTTAAATCAGGGGAGGATGAAGATTTAAGTATAATTAAGCGTGACTAATTACATTTATTTGTTTGGCTTTTAATGGAATCTTTTAAGGTATGTTTGGTAGAAGTTTTTTTTTTTTTTTAAGGGAAGGGAGGGAAGGACATTTTTTTAATTTTTAATTAAAATAATTATATATTATTTATGTTAATAAATACATTATATTTTTATTAATATATTAATTTATATTTTTAATTTTTTAAAAATAATAATTTTAAATATATTTATTTAAAATTAAAAAATATGTCCTTTCCTTCCTTTTTCTTCAAAATCTCTCCTAAATAACCCCTTACTTGTTGGAATGCTAAGTTTAAATATATATATATATATATATATATTTACAATTTAAAATCTTAAATGCACTCAAAATACTCTCTCTATGTATAAACTCTACTAAAATATCTTATATCATAATGTAACACTCATGTTTTTATACGCGAAACAAAAATACAAGTATTTTATTAGAAAAGGTAAAAAAAAAATATTGAAGTTTAATTAACATTTTTTTTTCATTTCAAACATTTCTTTGTGGGTTTGTTATAAATGTTTTTCATATATAGTAATGAAAAAATTATGTACTAAAAATAGGCATCGTTCTTAATAGAAATTTGAATCATTATTTACTTTTTTGTAACATATTAAATCCTAATTGCTAAACCCAATATATCATTTTTTTTCCATTTTAACCGTAATTAGTTAGTAGACAATTCTATCAAAAAATTGAATCCTCTCCTGCCTCAGATTAATCGAAGAAAAAATCAGATGAATGAAATAAATTTCCTAATTCACGGTTCAATTTATTTAGATTGCGAATGAAATAATGAATTAAACAAAATTATTTTACTTTTTGGTCCTAGAAATACGAAACAACAAGAGGCTGGGCAAAAAGTAGAGTGGGCCGAACATGGAGGCCGGGCCTAATGGCTTTAATTGGCGGGTCGAATCATAGCGAATCATGACTTTTGTCTCTGCTGAAATTTGAAAGCGAAGGGAAGTTGTGTGGAGTTCTCCATTTCATCTGAAAGAAAAACCATTGAGAAGCATTAACAAATAACAATGAGATTACATCGTAGCTTTATTATTTACCGTTATCTTTCTCGATTTCGAAAGCAATTTGAGCCAAACTCTGATTTCTCGTTCCCGAATTTCCGGCACCGACCTCCATTTTTCCTTTGTTCTTACTCTGCCGGTAACCTTTCGTTTCCTTTATATTTTAAGGTTTATTAAATTGATTATATTTTTTAATTGATAATGGATAGTTCGGAGCAGACAATAATCCTTCGTTGTTATTATGGTAACGACAATACATAGATACCACCTTGCTTGCCTCTGACAGTTACTTTAAGTAAGGTTGATGGTTTTTGTTAACAGAAGTGGAACCTCAACTGTCACCGAAGCTCTTAAAGATAATGGAACAAAGACTCTCGGCTATTGAGCACAGGACTGCTTGTCTTAACAATCTCCTAAATCAGGTAATGCACTTGCAATGCTTCTTCTTTTTGGATTTCTTTCTCGGTATTTTCTTTTTAATGTTTTGCACATCTGTTTTAATGACACCTCTTGTTAGTTCTATAATATATTGCATTTTGGTAGATGATTAATGTGCTATTTTAGTTGCCCAATGATTTTTTTTTCTCGAATTAATATCTTTTTTTTCTTTTAATTTATTTTATGCGATTAAACCTAAGTGTAATTGTATAATTGAATGGTGCTGGAGTTCTTTAGCTTATGTTTAATTTCTGTTTTTGATTGAAGACAGCCAGAAGCATCACCATCTGATTATGCAAGAGCTAACAAGGAGCTTCGGAAACTGAGTGGTTCTGTGGACCTTATTAATGAATTGAGGGCCAAACAGAAGGTAATAAGTTGATGTATTTTGTGGCTTAATTTTAGGTTGGTGTTAACTTTCATATGTGATGGAGGGTTCTCCTTACTGTCTAAATCTGTGTCATGACTTTATTCCGGCATTCACCTATTCAGTTAAGCATACCTTACTTAGCAAACATTACTTGATGATGTATATACTTTTTGTTAGGCTCTTCCTTTACTAGATTCATGATGTAGAAACCAGTATAAATATGTCATTTGATCCATTCAGTTAACTCCACTCAGTGGGAAAATGGTTTCTGTTTTGCTGTTTCTTCTGTGATAATGTTTTACCACATAGCCTTTGGCATGATACTATCTATTTATCTACATTTCTGATATGAATTAATTACTATGCCCTTTTTGAGTTTAAATAAATAAGAAGGAAAAAGGGAAGATGAGTATTTTTTCTTTTTTTGGATATGTTATATAACAACCTTTCTACTATGCAGGAAATTGGTGGCTTGAAGTCACTAATGGCTGAATGTTCTGAGGATAAAGACATGCTTAATATGGCTTCAGAGGAGATGGGCCAGGCCATAGAGGAGGAAAGAAAACTGCAAAATTTGCTGCTGAAGTCATTACTTCCGAAGGATGATGCTGATGAAAGAGATTGCATTTTGGAGGTGCGAGCAGGTAAATTGTCACTGTTGAAAATGGATATCTATTATAAATGTTCATCAAACTCATGCTTAATGAATGTTTGCTAAGTTGTCTTAGGTCTTGTTGATCACTTTACCACTGTACCTGTTTACTTCTGTCTATTTGCTTTCTTTTTTCCCATTTTCATTTTCTTATTCTATTTTTATCCAGGCACTGGTGGGGAGGAGGCTTCCTTGTTTGCAATGGATATCTTTAAAATGTAAGGTTACATTTATGTCACTGGAAATTAGTCTGATTCAGAAACTGTTGTTAGTTTTCTTAAAGGAATCTTGTCTTACATACTTTAGGTATGAGAAGTATGCTCACAAGAAAGGCTGGAAGTTTGAAGTAGTAGATATAGCTCAATCTGATCTTAAAGGATACAAGGTACATATTTCAGACATTAATAGACACTAAATATGACCTGATTTTCAATACTTTCCTAGTAACGTGTTTTGAATTGTTTACTGCAATATTCTGTTAGGGTGAGTGGGTGACTGATATGGGCCCATTAGTGAGTCAAGTAGAAAGGCCCAAAATCTGGTGTGTGTACACTAGGAAGGGAAAGGGAGCACACGTGTAATGGGGAGTCACTTAAATATAAAAGGATGAGAGAGAAGTTTGTTATGGAAGAAAATGATTAGGGAGGCTGTTTGTGCCTAGAGAGGGAGGCTCTTGGTCTATGAACTGAGAGGGTGTTACTTTTATACCTTCTTTCTATCATACATTTCATATGAACGATTACTATATTTCTGATTTTTTCTGTTCTTAACCATTATTTTTATATTCGTGTTTTCGTGAACTTAACATATTCACCTTGCATTCATTGTGACCCTCTGTCTCTGATTGTACTGTGTGCCACAAGTTCTTGATAGTGGAATTGGATTCATCTTGTAAGTGATGTGGTTTGGACTTTACTTTACTTTATCAGGAGGCGAGTGCTGCAATTGCGGGAGTTGGTGTTTTTGGGAAACTAAAATTTGAAAGTGGAATTCATAGAGTACAGGTTTTTGCTACCACCCTCTCATTTACAACCTATAACTACATCTACTTAGTAATTGCTGATGTTCTTCTTTTAACAGCGAGTTCCTGTGACAGAAAAGTCAGGACGTGTTCATACTAGTGCTGTTTCTATTGCAATCCTCCCTCAGGCTGATGAAGTAATTTAGTAATCAATGCCCATTCCTATACAATTTATATCTTTCTTTTTCTCCTTTGATTCTGTTAGTTGATGAGTGGAATTATGAAGGCTTGATTAATATCTTTTGATCTTATGATGTGTTCCTACTTTTTTCTCCTGCCGGTGTCTTATAGCTATTAATAACATGCCCTTAAACAGGTTGATGTTCAATTGAAGAAGGAAGACTTAAAAATCGATACCTATAGATCTGGTGGTTCAGGCGGTCAGCATGCAAATACAACCAATAGTGCTGTTAGAGTAACCCACATTCCAACAGGGATTATGATTGCTATACAAGATGAGCGCTCTCAACATATGGTAAATGGTTCAAAATATTTCGCATATTTCACATATAATGTTATTGACTGGAAATGTGTTTTTTTTTTTTTTTTTTTTCAGTACAACTACACACTCTCATTTTGTTTATTTATATAGAGTGGTACAATTAACTCCCAAATTGCTCTCTGTGAGCTGGAGTTAATAATAGTGCTACAATTTTTCTAGATTGACTTGCAATTTAATTAACTAGCCTTGCATAAATTTTATCTATACTTGCGAGAGTAATTATTGAGGCAATATGTTCTGATGCACAGCCACTTCGTAATTTCTTGCAATTTTTCATATGGCGTGGATGAAGCCATCTACACATTTCCAGTTAGATTGAGTGAATTGTATGTGGCATGTGTTCTTTGTTATGGTGGAGGATAGTGGGCAGAATAATGCGGTTAGGCATAGTAAACGTGTAATATTCCTTTGCGGTTTAGGGACAGTTAATAATAATATATGTAGTGGGCAAAGAGGTTTAGGGGTAGGTAGATTTTGGGTGAATCTCTTTGCTGTCTCTAACTTGTCTTTCCTTCTTTTATTTATGATTTCCTAAATTCTGTACTGCACTTCCTTGCTTTTTTGGTGTAATTTCTCACTGCAGGGCTGATCATTACCATTGAGTATAAATTAACCAGAGGAATTCTTCTTTTATATGCTTTCTACATATTTACACTCTGCTGGTAGGAATTGAATTGACAGAACCCATTACAATTTGGTGCTTTCATTGACTCCAATGGCGGAAAACACTAGACTCAAGGAGTTACAAATTGACATGAAAAAGGCATTTGATGCGATTGAGGCGCAAGATCGTAAGGGCATCGATTTAGGTCTCAGAGTGTCTCAGTTTGAATCACAACTGACCGGAATGCAACAAACGTTGGAACAACTCATGCTTAATCTTTTGTCATTTTCTTCTGATCCGTTGAATGGAGTGACGAACTCTGAGGCTGAACCCAAACATTCATCTCTGGTTCCTCCTTTGCAAATGCGGCATGTAAAGTTAGATTTTCCAAAATTTGACGGTATCGACCCTCTTGATTGGCTTTTTCGTGCAGAGCAATATTTTGCCTATTATAACACTTCGGATGCAGATCGTTTAACGATCGCCGCAGTTCATTTTCAAGGTTTGGTTATTCTATGGTTTCAAATGCTCCAACGAGCGAATCAATTGCCGTCATGGGCTGCTTTGGCCACTGCCATTGAATCACAGTTTGGTCCTTTGCCATTTGACAGTGCCCGTCCCAAGCTTTTTAAACTTGCTCAGACTTCTTCCATCTCCAATTACTACAATGAATTCATGCTCCTCGCTAATCGTAGTGAAGGACTCACCGATGAAGCATTACTTGATTGTTTCCTCAGTGGGTTGAAGGACCTGATTCGGCGAAAGGTCATCACCCAGGGACCTTTAGATTTGCTTAAGGCAGTTGCTCTAGCCCATTTGTTTGATGAACAAGATACTGTGAGCTTTTCGGTTCCGACCCCAAAATCTCCTTTTGTGCGAACCAACCCAAACCTGGCTCCCTCTTCATCTACTAAGGGGCCCTCTTCTTCATCAATGCCTCCTCCTTCTGTTTTACTACCGCTTTTACCCACACCGCCTGTCAAGCCGTCACATCTGGTTCGTTGTATGTCCTCGGCCGAACAACAATTATGTTGGGAAAAGGGATTCTGTTTTACATGCGACGAAAAATATACTTGGAATCACCGGTGTCCAAATAAACGGTATTAACTTTTTGAGCTTGAAGAGGATCTGCCCCCACCACAGCCTCCCGACGATTCCCTGGATTCTGAGGCCGCCCTTCACCATCTTTCCTTGAACGCTTTTTGAGGTTCTCCTAGCAAGGCAACCATTTATTTTCAGGGTGCAATTTCTGGTAAGCCTGTTCGCGTTCTACTTGATGGAGGTAGTTTTGACAGTTTCATTCAGCCACGCTTGGTGCATTCATTACGTCTTCCAGTGCAACCTTCGCCTTACCTGAAGGTCATGGTCTTTTTTGCAAACTGAGGGTTATATCCCTGCTTTATCTATTTCAATTTCAGGTCATACTATTACTATTCCCGTTTATGTCTTGGCGGTAAGTGGCACTGAAGTTGTCATTAGTACTTCTTGGTTGGCCACTCTGGGTCCTCATATTGCAGATTATAGTACTGGCTACATTAAAATTTTCTCTGGTGGTGAGTTTGTAACCTTACAGGGGGACACTTCCTCGATGCCTCAATATGCTCATTTTAATCATTTGCAGCGCTATCATTCTTCTGCTCAGATTTCAGAATTGTATCTTTTGCACTATGACTCTCCTGAACAACAAGTTACAGATGAGAATCCTTTTCCTCCAAACTTGCCTCCTGATTTATTATCTATCCTGCACCAGTTTGCTACCGTATTCCACTTGCCCAAAGTTTTGCCTCCTGCCCGTCCTCACTGCGGTTAAAGTCAAACCATATCGTTATCCATTTGCACAAAAGGCGGAGATTGAACACATGGTTAATGAGATGCTTCTTCAGGGGACGATTGCACCCAATAACTCCTTTCTCTACCCCAGTTTTTATTGGTCAAGAAACATGATGGTTCTTGGAGATTTTGTACCGACTATCGGGCTTTGAATGCAGTTACGGTCAAAGACTCCTTTCCAATTCCCATAGTTGACAAATTTTTGGATGAGTTGTGCAGTTCTGTGTTCTTCTCAAAATTGGATCTTCGGTCCGGGTGCCATCAAATTCTAGTTCGTCTTGAAGATCGCCACAAAACTGCTTTTTGCACTCATAAGGGTTTGTATGAATGGCTTGTAATGCCATTTGGCCTCACCAATGCTCCGGCCATTTTTCAAGCAGTTATGAATGATCTTTTTTGCGTAAATTTGTTCTTGTTTTCTTCGATGACATTCTCATCTATAGTCCCACTTGCTTCACTTGGAACACTTATCAATGGTCCTGCGTTGTCTGCAGCAACATCAGTTTTATGCTAAGCTCTCCAAGTGTTCTTTCGGGCAAACTTGGGTGGATTATTTAGGCCACCTTGTGTCTCAACATAGTGTTGAAATGGATCCCTCCAAACTGAGTGCAGTGCGTGATTGGCCTGCTCCGACTACAGTTACTCAGTTACGTGCTTTTTTGGGCTTGTCGGGTTATTACCGCCGCTTTATTAAGCAGTATGCTAAGATTGGTGGACCCTTGACAGATTTGTTGCAAAAGGATCGCTTTGCTTGGTCTTCGAGTGCACAAACAGTTTTTGATTCCCTTAAGGCTGCTTTGCTGGAGGCACCTATACTTGCTCTTCCTGATTTTTCCAAGCCATTTGTCTTAGAAACGGATGCCTCGGGTTAGGGAATAGGTGCGGTGTTAGCGCAAGAAAGACATCCAATTGCTTACTTCTCTAAGAAGCTCTCTTCTCGTATGCAGAAATAGTCGACTTGTGTTCGGGAACTTTATATGATTACTGAAGGTGTTGCTAAGTTCCGGCACTACCTGTTGGGTCACCACTTCATTATCCGTACGGATCAGCGTAGTTTGCGGCATTTTCAGGAACAGACTATTCAGACACCGGAGCAAGAAGCCTGGTTACCTAAACTTCTGGGGTATTCTTATTCTATTGAATACAAACCCGGACCCACAAATGCAGCCACTGATGCTCTATATTGTTCTTTCTTGATGGCATTGTCCCTTTCGCGATCGTCACTCCTTGATAACATTTGTGCCGCTGTCGCTCTATCATCTAATTTGCAACAACTGATTTCAAAATTTTTGTTGAATCCTTTGACATTTTCGCAATACTCTATGCGGGATGATTTGCTATTTTATAAGAACCGCATCGTCATTCCATCTGCAGACCGTTCGCTTGTCCACCTTATTTTGCAGGAATTCCATTCATCGAGACTGGGTGGCCATGTTGGGTTCTTATGCACTTTTTCTTGCGTTGCCGGTCACTTCTATTGGGATCAAATGCGTTCTGACATTCGAAACTTTGTGCGAACTTATCAAGTATGCCAGCGTGCAAAACATGTTCAAACCTCTCCAGCTGGTTGATCATTACCATTGAATATAAATTAACAAGAAGAATTCTTCTTTTATATGCTTTCTACATATTTACACTCTTCTGGTAGGAATTGAATTGACGGAACCCATTACATTCTTTCAGTTGAGGCTGGTAGGCAGCTTAAACTTGGCACACTTGTGCTGTTGGTATTTTTTTTTCCACTGAGAAATGTATGTTTAGGGTATAATTACATTTCAGTTTCAAAACTTTTTTGTTGTTTTTCTCAATGTTAGACTTATTTTCCTTAAAGCTTATTTTGTTTCAATAATAAGACTTTGTAAGGGCCATTCTGGCATATTTGATGAGGCAGGTTTAGTTAATTATGATCTGTGATGAATTCACTATTTTGGTTTCTCTGTTCTACATTTCTCTTCTGTGATAAGTTATTTTTCTTCTCCTTACGTTCTATCTCTGCCTTCTCATTTCTGCTTTTAGAACAAGGCGAAAGCTCTCAAGGTACTGTGTGCAAAGCTATATGAAATGGAAAGGCTCAGACTTCAGAGTAGTCGATCAAAGCTTCGATCAGAGCAGGTAGAAGAGATCTCTTAGTAAATTCTGTTCAATTGCCATGCCCTTTTGCATTCTGGAATCTGGATCAACTTGGACTTCGTCAAATTGTGCAGATTGGTAGTGGGGATAGATCTGAACGCATCCGAACATACAATTTCCCTCAAGGCCGTGTAACTGATCATAGAGTTGGTATCACTTATCACTCGATAGATGATGTGATGCAAGGGGAAAATCTTGATGTCTTCATTGATGCTCTTCTATTGCAAGAAGAAATGGATGCAATTGCAACTTTTAGTTCTTCTCAGTAAAGCCAGTGCGCTTAACTTTTGCCGATTATTAGTTTAATGTCTTGTTGGTGTAATTCACTAACTGAAAATATGATATTTCATGTTTTGCGCAAGACTCTAGGCAGAGGAAGAAGTTGAGATAGCATACAACCGATTGATGCGTGTTTATATATGTTAGTTACATGACTGGCATGTTTACTCGTGTTCTCAATAATATAAAGGCGAAAGCCCTGCCCTTATTAATTTTGTTTTTGGATTAAACATTCTTTGTTTCAAGAGAGGCTTGAGACCTAATGAAAAGTAAAGATTTTTTTTTCTTTTTCTTTTTAAATTATCGAGTCATCCATATGTTGTACGTACAAAATAAAAATCTCAAATGAATTTAATAGGTTCAACTCGGCAAATAATTATGTTCAAAAGAAAATATCCTCCTTAAACTATCAAGTAACCGAAAGGGAGAAGGACCAGTAAGAAACTCATGTTTGATATATTCATAAAATAGTTACAATCACCGAACCTCAATGTAATTTAATCATTGAAAGATTTTGTAGTCGTGGCATGTCATCGCCCTAAGTTTTCAGGTCGGTTATCTGTGTCTTTTTACACTTGTTAACACTTGAAAGTGACCCACTTATACTTGGTGAGGCATGGAATCTCGTCGAATCTTTTACAAAGATTAAGCATTATTCAATCGCAATCCCTTTTCTTGCAAGGTAGCGTATTGAAATTTGAAAGAAAAACGAAATGATTGATATCCTGGTTATGGCATCTAAGGTATCAGAAGTAAGTTTTATTTTCCTACTTAGATTAGGTGCCCAGGATTGGTATCAGGCCTCAATTGGTACCCAACTAATATCTGGTTCTCACTTCTGAAAGAAAGAAGTCATCTTTAGTGCTGTTTGGTTCTAACAGGCAGTGAAGATTACCAGTGGCAAAGAAATTAGAGGTGATTGTTAAGAAACGAAGTGATACCTGATAAAACCAGTGTTGTTGATATCAGTAGCAAGCAAATCCTCAATAGTGATTTCTCTTTGCAAAACCTTCTTAGCCATTCTCCTATGTCTTCTATCAATTCTAGCCTCAGCCAAATAGAGGAATGCCCGTGCCACCATCAAAGTAGAAAAGAGGAGCCAAATAGCCGCAAATAACCGACCCGGAAGAGTCTTAAAGGCGCTGTCTCCATACCCAACCGTTGTGACAGACATAACCGACAAGTAAATAGAATCAACAAATTCCAAACCCTCCACAAAGTACAACACCAAACTCCCAATTCCAATACACAAAACCACAACACCAAGTGCCAAACCAACCTTCAATCTAATCCTCATCCTACCCTTTGCCACATCAACTATGTAATTACTTGCAGAGAAACCCTCCCTAGCACCCATTTGGAGACTGGTCAGAATCACTTTCTCTTGCATGAATATCGTTGAGAATTGGATGCAAAATCGTATATAATATAAATGGTTAAATGAATGTTTGTTACTACAATACTTAAAATGAGAAAACTATTTAAAATTATAAAAATACAAAAGCTCGAAATAAATAATTATAAATTATATTTATCTTTTCAATAATATTGTAGATTTATGTATATATTGTCCCACAATGTTAAAACTATGAATTTGTAACTGATCAAAATAATAAGTATAGCTATGAATTAACAATCTCCTACTTTAATCTAAAAGACAACAACAAAAAATATTCTCAACATTTTTTTGTACTTGAAAATTTTATCTATATATAACAATTGTTTATTTTCTTTTGCTTCATTTTGAGCCATATTTATATTCTGATATTAACATTTCACTTTGTAGTCAGTCGAAAATAAAATTTTCTTAGGAAAAATTTGTTTGATTATTTCAGTAAGAAGTTTGGATAGTTAATAATTGAGCACTGTTTGATGTGATTAATTACTAGCTACGCAATATTATAAGACTCTGATTAGATCACATGTTTCTATCGAATCCAAGCGCTATGTTATGCACGTTATATTATCTTTGGTACAAATAACTATTTGGGTATACTTATTCTTCCACTCATCTTCTTTTGTCAAATTTCACTTTGAAATTGATTTAAGTGATGAAATATCTTTTTTTCTTTTATTGGTCTGAAGTAATGACTAATGAGATGTCTATGAGAGGCACTCATTTTTTTATTGGTACAAAAAAATGATATATTGAGTTTAGCAATTAGGATTTAATATGTTACAAAAGAGTAAATAATGATTCAAATTTCTATTAAGAACGATGCCTATTTTTAGTACATAATTTTTTCATTACTATATATGAAAAAAATTTATAACAAACCCACAAAGAAATGTTTGAAATGAAAAAAAAATGTTAATTAAACTTCAATATATTTTTTTTACCTTTTCTAATAAAATACTTGTATTTTTGTTTCGCGTATAAAAATATGAGTGTTACATTATGATATAAGATATTTTAGTAGAGTTTATACATAGAGAGAGTATTTTGAGTGCATTTAAGATTTTAAATTGTAAATATATATATATATATATATATATATTTAAACTTAGCATTCCAACAAGTAAGGGGTTATTTAGGAGAGATTTTGAAGAAAAAGGAAGGAAAGGACATATTTTTTAATTTTAAATAAATATATTTAAAATTATTATTTTTAAAAAATTAAAAATATAAATTAATATATTAATAAAAATATAATGTATTTATTAACATAAATAATATATAATTATTTTAATTAAAAATTAAAAAAATGTCCTTCCCTCCCTTCCCTTAAAAAAAAAAAAAAACTTCTACCAAACATACCTTAAAAGATTCCATTAAAAGCCAAACAAATAAATGTAATTAGTCACGCTTAATTATACTTAAATCTTCATCCTCCCCTGATTTAACGGTGATATTGTCATTTTTCTTCCGTCACTTCACTAGCTAATTAATTACTTTCGATTTCAAAATTTTAAATCAATATTAACTAATTAGTTGAACGAAAATGACCTGATTGATTTTTACTTGAACTTTAATATTTGTTTGAGATTAATTTAATTTGAAAATTAACAGTGATGATGAGCAATTAAGATTGCCATTAGAGGCAAGTATAATGATGGAATGAAATGGAAACTTTTAGCTAATAGAAGCAAATTTTCATTAGAATAAATTCCATTGCACCCTAGATATTGACAAACGAAAGGATAGAACTACAAAGAATAATAAATTGCGTGGGTGCGCATGGTGGCTCTGATGTGATAAAACTTGATGTTCTAAGGAGAGGTTTGGTTTTTAAGCTTTGACGAAGCCAAGGGCGTGAGGAACATGAAGACTCTTGATCCAATCAACTCCAGAACCAGGTCCAGCCTGGAGGAACTTGCCAGCAGTGAATTGTTCAGCTTCGGCACGGCTGATGAGACCACGGTAACCCTTCCACTTGACCCTTCCGCTAACATTGGCACCAGGACCATCGTTGTTGTACTCAGCATAGTACAAGGTGTCAAGGAAAGCATTACCGGCCCAAGGGAACCACCCATCTGGATGAATGAAGTCTCCGATAGTGGATTCCATGACAACGGTCGTTGAGAGCTCCTTCCATGGCCTTCCCAAGTAGGATTTAATCTGAAACCTCACAGGGAAAAGTGCTGCTTCTGGGACGATCTGGCAGTCTTGGATCACGATGCCAGTGTTCATTTTCTTCGTCTTTGTGCCGTCTGCGGTCACTGTGTTGAATTGGTTGTCGTTTGGCTTCCTCACAATGATCACAGAGTGTTGGATTATTACTGGGGATGTGCCAAAGATGAAGTCAATGGTGCCAGAGATGACGCAGTTGCGGTAGAATTGCCTGTTGGCTTGAGCGTACAAGGTGTCTTGGTAACCCAATATGTGGCAACCCACGAAAGCAGACGCGTCTCCTTGGTTCCTAAGTGCCACTGCTTGGTGACCATCAGGTCCAGCTGTGTTCTCAAATGTCATTGCCTTTGCGATGAATCCTGTTGCAGTGTTGGCTGCATGCATCCCATGCAAAATCAGTTAGTCCACGTTAATTCATTCATGTTATAGTATATATATGTATACATGTGTGTGTAAGGAAAATGGTTTTATTTAATAGTAATAAAGTAAATTAATTACCGAAGGTGGCAGTTTGCATGGTCGTGATGCCGCCAGCAAAGCTCTTGTGACCAGTGACAATGGTCTTTAGAGGGCCATCACCGTACATGAGAACGTTCACTGCTTGCTTGGGAACGGTGATGTACTCATCATACACACCAGCCTTAACATAGATAACGTATCTAGGACCAGAGAAACCCTTAGGGTATGAAGCTATAGCTTCTGCAATGGTTTTGAATTGACCACTTCCGTCCTTGGCAACAACAACATTGGGCTTCACTCGTGATCTCCATCCCTTACCTTGAAGCTGAGCCAAAAGCTTACGATCAGCAGCAGGGAACCAAGTAGGGTATCCTTCCTCATCAGCCTCAGACCCAAGAAGGCGACGGGAAGCGGGTTTAAGATCCAACTTCAACCCGAATTGTTCAAGGATCTTGGACAAATCAGTCACAATATCAAGCGTGATGGCAGTGATTTTCTGCACGTGGTCCAAACCCTGCTCGTTCAACTGCTCCTTGATCTTCTTCTCACCATCAGTTCCACGGTCAAAACCATCCATGCACGCTTGTTGGTACGAGATAACAGCACTGAGCCAGTTTCTGAAATCAGCAGATTGAAGATGAATGTTTTGCACGTCGTTGTTGTGAACCAAATCAGTGCTGAGTTGAAGACTTTCTATTGCAGATTGCAACAAATCCTTGCAATCATCGAGGGCCATCTTCGTGCTGTCATCTTTTCCATACTCCGTTGTGAGCCTGTCGCTCATGTTAAAGGCTTTGATGACACTGTCAGTGGTTGCTTTTACGGCAGCGGCTATGTAAGCCTTTGGATCAGTGGCATTCACGCCCTTGACTGAGCTAAGAGTGTCATGGCAGAGTTTTTGATCTTCGGTGTCTTGGCATATAACTCTGACGGATTTTTGTTGAGACTGGATTTCTGGGTCTTCGCTCTTCTTGTTCACGGCAACCACCACGCCGAGGGCTACACCCACCACAAGGATCAGAGAGACCGCAGAGATAATAACCTTTCCTGACATTTTTTTTTATTTAAATTTTTTTTTTTAATTTTTTCTCTCCTTTATTGGATCTTCTCTTCGATGGTCGAATGGAGAAGATGGTTTTCCTCCCCTGTGTGGGGTGTGTTTATTGAGGGGGAGGCTTGAGGAGTGATGAGACATGGAATGAAGTTGGGCTTTTATAGGTGTAGATTCTTTATTTTTAGGCTAATAAATTGGAAAAAATATGTATATTTAGCGGGTTTTGAGGTGCTTCTTTTATGAATGAATGGCACAATTTGTCGTTGGCTTCAAAAATTTAGGAGTGGAATGAGACTTTAGATCACTAACTATTTTTGTATGTTATGTTTATGCTAGAAATAGTCTTTTATGTTGATGAGGTTAATTTTCAATTTGGCATTATTGGGTCTAAGGGAGACCATTTCTTCGGCAAGCCTCTCAGCTATTTTCTAGGAAAGTTAATATTATTATAAGCCTTTATATCATTTCCCCATTCACGACTCCACTCATGTGATTAAGGAAAGGAACTCGATGTGGCTCCTCCACGCACCACGTCATCAAGCTAACCCCTTTGTTTGGTAGAGGCATGGACCCTACAATGGCCACGGGTATAATGGTGGAGCCTTGTATGGGAACCACGTGGACAGGTGGACCCCACTTGTAGTCCACGTGGTTGAATCCTAGCCTTCCCCATTCTGATATGAACATAGTAGTGTAGGTGAGTGGAGGTGCAAATGGGTCCTCTTTCTCTCCACCTTGCAAATGTTCACCTTTCAAGTACTTTCCAAATTCAACGGGTAACTTGGCTTTTGCTTCTTGGATCAGCTTCACCACATCAATCATCACAGCCTCTCTAAGGGACTCAAATGAAGCTGTGATCGTCACTGGGAAAAAACAGTTTCCGTATAAACCATCGGGTAGAACAGGGTCCAAGAGATGACGGCAATTTGCAAAGAACACAAGCTTCAGTTGAGTTTTGGGTTCCAATTTAATGGCTCTTGTTCGGCTTCTCCAACATGCTGCAGCTACAATCTCGAAGACAGAGCAACCGAGTCCAGTTACTTGTTGAAATTCTTTCTTCAGAAGGATGCTTTGATCCATGGGCATGTCTATGTTTGCATGCTCTAGCTTGTATTCTGGTATTTGAAGTGGGGGTAGCTTTGGTGGCAATGTAGCTTCTTGGGGTGTTTGAGGAGATGGGAAAAAGTCCCTTTGCCACACTGGTTCGATGCTGGCTTTTTCATGACCCCTTGCTAGCTCCCCAACGGCATTTAGAAACTGTGCAGCTCCTAGACCATCGCATATGCTATGGCAGAATATGAGGCCTATCACAAAACCCCCACAACCAAATTGTGTCACCTGAGGAAGGAAAAATCAATATTCTTTAGTTAATTGACATATTCAATGATAACAAGTAAAGTGCACTATGCTTGCTGATAAAAGAAAAGTTTTACGACAATTAAATCAAGAACATTTCTTGTGTAAGCATAATATTTATGTACACAAATAATTAAAATAATATAGTGAGGAATTGTTTAAGTTTTTGATTGATTATGCATATAAAGTATAATAATGGCTTTTATATCACTAAAAAGGAATTTTTTATATTTAATATGTAGTTTTTAAATGTATATATATAAAAATAATAATATATGATGTTACATGGGATATTAATTTTTAATGATTTAAATAGTAGACATATAAAAGAAGTATGGTATATGCACGTACAAATGTTAAACTATAGCTATGATGAAATTTTGAACGTGATACCTGCATTTGCACGAGGGGTTCGACGTGTTTGATCTCAGGAATATCATCAGGAAGAAGATCATCATATGGAAGAGACTGAACATCATCAAAGAAATTGACAGATTCAAGGGTACAATCAGCACATGCCTCAACGTACCACACGCCATCACCAGAGCACTGAATTTGGAGGCACCCTGGTTTGGATTCAGCGAGTGTTCCTGCAAGAGGGTAATAAGGAACCAGTGCTTTGGACAAGGCCTCTCTTATGACCCTTGCAGCTTCAGGGCCATGTCTGAACACGTGTAAGGTTCTAGCATTGCATCTTAGAACAGGTAATCTATCGATGGCTGATAGGTCCAGTGTGATCAATGGAGTTTCCTCAGCTGGTTTAACTAAGCCTCGTTTTGTTCTTATCACAGACACTGCCATGACTCTGCAGGAAAACGCTAGTTAAAAAAAAAGGCGTGGTAAGAATCTATATGCATATCATGATGCATTTTGAGTAAGCTTTATTTATAAATGATGAAATTGGTATTTTATGTTTCGAGCTCCTTGGCCTTTTAAGTCTAAACTTTGTTTGGTGTAGAAAGTAGAAACTGAACTATTCCGCCAAGCATTGTGGTTTGTGACATAATTTATTATTTTATTTTTGAAAAGTAATAGTGTTTATATGTTAAAATCTTCACGTTTTTTCCATTGTTTTCTTAAAGAAAGATGGACAGAATGTATTGGAGCATATATATAAAAATTGTAAACTGATCAACAAAATGAAGTTTGGAAGTCATTTATGCATAGCAAATGGTAGAGTAAATCATGTGATCGATATCATTCACATGAATGCATCCGTCCCAATACGATTATTTTAAAATAAGTTGTGGCAAATTATAATAACATAACACAATAAATTGTCCTGTAAACAAAAATAATCGAAATATTAAATAAAAATAATGATAAATTACATGGTTACAGGCAAATTAAAACCTAAAAATCGAAGCCTGTCTTCTTTGTGAAAAGCTTATCTAGTCTCTACACTGCTTGTTATCTAGGATTGTTAAAATCTTCTATTTCTCCAAACACTTTATCAAAGAAACAAAAGCCCAACTGAAATGAACCATTTTCTCCTTCTGGAGAATCTGGGCAGCTATAAATTAATGACCCAAAACACTTCAGCCCATAAAAAATACAGAGAACTGAAATAAACAAAAATATTAACCTTATATTAAAGATAAATTATACTTTATTTCCTAAAATTTAATGCTTTCTTACTTTTTTTATGCTATTAAAGTTTCTAAGTGTTTAAATTAAAGCAAAACATAATCTTTTTATAATTAAACTGATAAAATCATTGGTTCATGATTCAACAATATCAGACGAATAATAATAAAAAATATATTTTAATATTATATATATTAAACAATAAATTAATATAAATTATAAAAAATTAAGTTAATTAAAATTTTAAAATAACATAAAATGATCATATTATATATTTCAGAATAAAAATTTATAGTAAATAATTAAATAATAATAAAGTTATTTTAAATACCATATATGAGTCTTTGTATATTCAATAAAATATTTTAGAAAAGATATTTTAAAAAATAAAAGAAAAATCTGCATTGATTGGTTCAAACCATTTTTCAGCATCGATTATTGCCTGATTTTGATCGATTCCTAATCAGTTTTTTTTGTTCGACCACAAAATTTTTGAATTGATCGATTTAATTGCTTAATTAATTTCTAGTTCAACAGATCAAACTGACCGATTCAATCCAATTTTAACAATTATGTTGAAATTTATCATATCAATAATTTTAATGATGGCTAATAAATCTTAAGTCGTTAGTTGCCATTGATTAACTGCTCTAAAAACAATTCACTTAACTAATTATAACTTATTATTAAATTACCAATAAATTCTAAGTTTGGAAGTGAATACTTCAAAATCAAATGTGCTATTTTATTAGTTCTCTAAACTTTTTGTTCACCAAGTTATTAAGAGCTAAAATATTAAAACATTAATCTTTTAAAAATATTATCATTAAAAAAATTTTAAAAAATTTGAATATCATTTTTTTGAATAATTAAGGAAAATATTTAAAAAATTAAAATTAACTCTTTTTATAACTCAATTCCTATTAAAAGCTCCGATTGTTATAATTTAAACATACAAAGAGATTTTAACTAAAAAAAACTAATAATTTAGATATAAAAATTCTAAGTATCACGTTTAACATCTTATTCTATTTATCGTGAGACATTTAGAGAAAATAGGGTGAAAAAAAGTAAAATATAAAAATAGGAAAAAAAATCCTAGATATTATGGTTGTGTCCTCTGTAGCTTGGTCGGGCTATTTATGAGTTTGGTAGGTAAAATGATGGTTTCAGTTGTATAATATGTGCAAATAAATGACTGCGAGTTTGAAGCTTAAAACATGCATAAATAATTCACAGCAAATTGCATACTCAAACATTACCCAATAAAAAAAAAACAACAAATGACAAACATTATGGGAGGAAAAAGGTGTATACTATGTTGCATCGATACGGGTTCGGTATGGATACGGCATTTTTTAAAAAAATAGGATACGGATACGTCAATTAAAAAAAAAAATATATATATATATATATATATATATAATTGTATAAAATAAATATAAAAAAATTATATATAAAATAAAAATACATAAATTTTAGCAAATAAAGAGTTAGTCACTAAACTTATTATTATTGTCATTTATTGTTATATTACTCGTTGTTTATCTTTCTCCTGTGAAAGTTGATAATTGAGGTCTAAAATGAGAGGAGAAAAACATTGTAGATATCAGAAAACTAGAAATACTGATATGTAAAAGTTGAAAAGAAGAAAAAGAAAACTAAATTAGATATTCAATGAAAAAATTACTTAGAATTCTAAAATTTTAATATGCAGGTATGGGGTATCTAAGTACCCATCCCGCCCCATACCTGCATATATATATATATATATATATATATATATATATATATATATATATATATATATATATATATTATAAATATTTTATAATCACTTACTATTACCGTAAATTTATTATTTATTAATAATATTTAAATTTTATTTTTTATATTTTAATTTTAAATAATATTTTTCTATACAACATATGTATTACAACCACAACTATAATATATTGAATTTAAATAATATTATTCTTACTATTTATTCACTTTCAAAGAAGTTTTTGAAAATATATAAATATAAAAAATTATTGTTAATTTTTATTTGTTAATTTTTTTCAGATAAAAAGTATAATTTTTTTAATATACACGTATATTTCTTTATTATAAAATTTTATTGTGACCATCATTTATCTTTTATTCAAATTCTTTTTTTTAAAATTTATATATATTATAAATATTTAATTTATTAAAATAATTTTTCAAAAATTTATATTTTTGATAAAATACTTTTGTATAATATATGAGTTAAAAATACTAGTATTAATATATATATATTAATTATATTATATTATTTTAATTAAATATATTATTTTTCTTACAATTTCAAATTCAAAAGTTAAAAAAAATATTTTATACATCCACTTTCTATTGTTAGTATTAAACTTCTCTACTCTAACTCTATTCTCATTCTCAATGTCTGTCTCATTAAAATTTAACAACTATGAAACGTTATTCATTAGAGTTAGTTGTCAATGCCGTCATAAGATGTCACCAAAGGGATAACCATTGTGCAGATCTATTTCGTTATCACTCTGACATTGCCAATTGATCAATTCTCACACAAGATAGGGTTATCACTGACAAATAACTTGTGTATTTAGTTTCGCTTATTATTTCTAAAAATTTTAGTTTAGAAAATTATTATATTAAGATACATTTAGCATTTATGATCTTTGAATATTTAATTTTTTATCTATGTTTGTACCTTGTTTTGCAACTACATATTAAATTTTTATATTATTATGCTACTGATGTGAAGTTATATAAATGAGTGCAAATAAATGAGTGCGAGTTTGAAGCTTAAAACATGCATAAAGAATTCACAGCAAATTGCATACTCAAACATTACCCAATAAAAAAAAACAACAACAAATGACAAACATTATGGGAGGAAAAAGATGTATATCATGTTACTTCAGTACTGGGTATGGATACGGGTACAGGATACGACATTTTCTAAAAAAATAAGATACAGGTATGTCAATTATATATAGACACATAAAATCGTAAAAAATAAATATAAAAAAACTATATATAAAATAAAAGTACACAAATTTTAACATATTTATAACTTGTCATTATTAAAAAAGATGTTTATTAGACTTGCCACTATTGTCATTTATTGTTATTGTTTGTTGTTTGTCTCTCACCAGTACAAGTTAATGGTTAAGATATGAGATGAGTGGAGAAAAACAACAGTATGCAGTCTATAGGTACATGAAGGCCGAAAGAAGTATTAATATGTGAAAGTTGGAAAGAAAAAATAGACAACTAAATCAGATATTTAAAGAAAAAATACTTAAAATTCTAAAATTTTAATTAAAATTTTTTAAAAGAGACAACTAAGCCAGAATGGCCTTTGACTGAGCTAAGAGTGTCATGGCAGAGTTTTTGATCTTCGGTGTCTTGGCATATAACTAACGGATTTTTGTTGAGATTGGATTTCTGGGTTTTCGCTCTTCTTGTTCACGGCAACCACCACGTCGAGGGCTACACCCATCACGGAATTGACATTGATAACAAATTTTGCAAAATTTTACCCTTTCATAACATGTTGTCAGTTTCTATATAATTTTTCTTTTTTCTACATAATTTGTTTAAGCCCTTATTTTTGCTTAACCATCCAAAAATAGGCTCAAGCCATTCGCATTTCGCTTAAGCAAATATATATTAGCTTAAGCAAATTCAAGGCCTGTGCATCGCTGCTCTCTGTCCCAAATTTGCTTCATTTTAAATAAATTCGCTTGCTTTCGCTTCAAACCAATAATATTTCGCTTGAGCGATTTTAAAATGGCTTAAGTGATAAAGTTGCCTGAAAATCCTAATCCTCTGTCCAAAATTCGCTTAAGATTAAATATATTCGCTTGGGCTGAGCGGAGCGATTTTATTTTTGCTTAAGCGAGGATTCACCAACCTCGCTTAGACTCACTTTGAAGCCTGGATCCCATAATTCTGCCGCTTAAGCCATAAATCACTGCTTAAGCGAAAATTCACTTAAATTCGCTTAAGCCGATCCAAATTTGCTTAATCGAATGACGACAGGAGGATCATGTTCCCGCCAGAACATGAGAGGATCCGTATCCAAAAAATTCACAACAAATTGCATACTCAAACATTACCCAATAAAAAAAACAACAAATGACAAACATTATGGGAGGAAAAAGGTGTATACTATGTTACTACGGTACTGGGTATGGATACGGGTACAA